AGAAGCGGCAGCTGCTGAGCGCGGGCAAGGTGCAGGGCTACGACGGCTACTACGTGCTCTCGGTGGAGCAGTACCCCGAGCTGGCCGACAGCGCCAACAACGTCCAGTTCCTCCGCCAGAGCGAGATTGGCAAGAGGTAACGGCCGGGCCAAGGGCTGCCGGACACGGGCCGGAGGACGACACTGCTGTGACCGCACCAAGACAGCTCTTGTCCTGAATGACCGGACAGGTGATCGGCTTTAAAGAATATGTTTACATACGCATCTCGCTGCACCCCGTGGGACTGGAAGCATTAAAAGAAAACAATGATACAGGGGAGGGGAAAAGGCCTGAACATTGTGCTCCGGGCCATCTGTCCCTTTGAGGCATTGTGTTTAGCGAAGGGGGCAAACAATGCATCCAGTGTTTCCAAATATGACCGAATTGTGGACCTTTGCTTACAGGAAGTCGTCTGTGTGCGTAGGATGTGATAGAGATCTCTGCTCATTTTTAAATGGGGGGCAAACTTACTGTTCATAGACAAGCCAGCTGCTTTCCCTGTGCTGCTGTGGAGAAGGACATGGGCACAGTGACTTCTGCTTCGGCGGGGATTTAATCATGGATTTTACAATGCTGATGTGGCTTGCCTTGGGGAAAAACTGGCAAATAGAATCCTTGTCACTGATAAGCAAAGGAAACCCTGATTTTTTTGTAAATTATGTGAGACAAGTTGTTTATGGATTTTTATATGAATTACAATTTACTGTACATCAAATATTAGTCTCAGAGGAGTTAATTTATGTAAAGTGTTTAAAAAGTTTATACTTAAAAATAAAATGATAAAAACATGTGAACTGTGTGATTTTTTAAAAAGGATTGCACCTTTTGTTATCTGTTATAGCTGTACAGTATAAATTATTATATTGTAGAGATATAACAACTTATGCCTATAATGTCCAGAAGTGTTAATATTTTTGTATTAGGTTGAAAAAAAAAAATGGAGGGATCCAAAAGAGGAAGCCTGGAGGCACTGGTCCACATCATGTTCTGTCTGTGGCAAAACCCCCTGGGCAGTGCTCACAGCAGCTCGCTTGCTGGAGTGCAGAGGGCAAGGTCCCCCCACAGCAGGAGCTACCACCCCCCACCTCAAGGTGCAGTTGCGTGTCACGAGCTCCAGCAGAGTGGGGCGAGCCCATCCCTGGGAAGCCTTGATGGGCATCATAGCAAGATCTTACCCCTTCCATGGATAACCAAATTCTGTCCCGGTGTCCTTGAGAGGAGCGATCTGATTCCAGCACCTCAGTCCACCTAATTAATCAAATTCTAGAAGCTGGAGGTGGAAAGCACTTAGAGAAATTTGAGTGAGTTGTCCAAGTTCACAGAAGTGGCTTAGGCCGAGGCAGACGGTGATTTCCTGGAAGCTAGGACCCTCCATTACATCACATAGTGTGATAACAATACCCAGGGAGGGGCTGGAAACACTCCTTACCTCCCCTATTCCCACAGGGCACTTGGTCTTTCCAGAGCTGCCATAATTTGCAGCCATGATGTGTGTTTTTCATTATATAAAGATGCCCCTGACCCACTAACAAGGCCTGTGTCTTACGCTCCCCTCTGCCTGACAATATTCCTAGTTCCTCATCCCCCTCATAGTAAATAGGCAAGTCTGCCGTGCACTGTTCATGACTGCACATAATTTCTAAAAGAAAAACCATTGGGCTATTTACCTAGACTTTCCATAAGCTATTTATCTGGCTTTAGACATCTTACCAAGCTCCCACAAATAAAAATTAGTTATTAGTCATTATTACCCATTTTAGCCACCGAGTTAAGCCAGAGTACCAAGGAGGCACTGATGAGCCATCTGAAGTTTCTACCTTCTCATTTAAACCACATAAATATCTTTTCCTGCAGACTTCTCACTTGCTTACCACCACCTCTGCAAGCAATGGTCTCTTGATGTCAGTTAATTACTAGTAACTTTTAGGTAAATTGAGGAAACCTTTTCATCTATGAACTGACTTAAAATTCTGTCATGGAGGAATATAGGAATCCTAGCATCTTGTGTGTGGAGAATTTACAATAAACTGATTCTAAGCCTAGAGTAACATCATTATTCAGTTTAGAGTTAATGGGTTCCACAAAGTAAATTTAATAAATCCTTCTGGGATCTAAGCTGAGGAAAATTAAAATTAGAAGCATAAATTGTGACTTCTAGGGCAAGAGAGTAGCTTGGTTACAGTCTTCCTGCTTATGGGGTGAATTGCGAGCTGAGCTTTAGCAGGCCCCGTCCACAGGCGCCCAGCCCGCATTAAAAGGGAAATCGCATTCTTTTACACGTTTGCAGATTTCCCAAATTCCACCCCCAGTGGCTATTTCTATACAGCGTAACTCACTGCACAGAACTGACAGGATTTACAAGTGGTTCACTGGGTCAAAATGAATTCTTTAAAGTTTTCACATGTTAACTTTATCAGTGGGGTGTGAGGGGAGCATAAATGCCCAAGCAGTGAAAATGACAAGTTCTTTGACATGACTGAAAGGCTGAAAATGGCACTGCTCCGGGGCAGTCTTCGGCCTGGGGTTCATCGCACAAGTGATTGATGACAGTGTCAATGAAGAACGAGTCCTACCCCAGATTTTCCTCTAACACTACTACTAGGGAGATTCTAGTCTACCTGTTCTAGAGGCTGTTCTACAAAAATTGTCCCCAGGACTGCTGTCTCTAACCCATGCAGCCCTTCCCTCTCTTTCCCACGCTCTCTCTTTCTAGATTTACTCTGGCAACGGATCAGGTTGCATGTGACCACGTGTCCCTCGAAGACAGAAGGACAGCCACACGGCTCCCTGGGTAGACCAGATGGACTTCCATTACTCAGGCTGTCAAAGGGACCTGGAGTCCTTCATCTTTAATTTATTGATAAAAGGTTACAAACAAGCAGATTTGAAAAATCTCACTTCAGCTATGACATGATTTCCAAGTTCAGGAAAACAAACAAAACAAAAACGCAAACCCTCAGGCCTGGGGTTTATGTTTCCATCTCCAGCATTGACAAGTGACACTGCAGAACGTAGAGACAATGCAGGGATGACATGGCGGGAGAGAAGCCGTCAGGCTTGACCTGACACCGAGACACCAAGAGAGGCGACACGAGGCAGGCGCCAAGGGCAGGAGGGCTTCCCCTGCGCTGGCCTCCCTCCTGGGACTCTGGCCCCTGCGGGAATGAGAGGCTGTCCCAGCATCTGGTGGCTCAGCGGACAGGGTCTTAGGACACTTCTGCCTCCTGAAATTCCCAGGAGGGTCGGGGCAGGGGGACCTTGGGCCACGGGGCCGGTCCCTGACGTCCCCGCGGCGGTGGCGGCCGCCGAGGCGCTTTCGGGAAGGGCTCGAGCGCCCCCTAGTGACGCGCGCCGTCGGGGAGGGAAGCGCCGCGACCGGGCGCGGAACAGAAACCGGCCCTGGAGCCGCCCTGCACCGGCGCCGGGCCCGGCCACCTCCAGCGAGCCCCTGTGTCCCCCGCCTTTGCTCTGCCCACAGAGCTTTCATGCATAAAGCCATTCTTTCCTCCCCGAGGAAGGAACCACCTTCCCGAGGCCTGGTCCTGCAAAAAAATCACTCCTGCACGGTTCGCCCTCATGTCCAGCAGGAACTTTGTCCAGCAATGCTCCTGTCACTTGGCAGATCGGCATAAGGCCCGTCCCCCCAGGACCTGTCCGCGGGCTGTCAGTTCGGCAGCCCCCCGAAAGCACTGATTCTGAACTGCCACCTTGTTTCTCTTTTACTCTTCACGTTAACGGTCCTGTCGCTGGGAAGAATTTCCCAGAAGGACAGGTCATTTAAATTCAGGGTGGCATTTTTAATTTGAAGGAGACAGGCCCACATAGAAGGTGCTGGAGCGGCAGCCGGGACAGCGAGCGCCCACCCCAGCCCTCAGCCTGGCCTCACGTCCTGTCTGACCTGTCCCCTCCTTTGTCCGTCCCTGCAGCCGCCACTGCGGGGTGGGGGGATCGGGGATTCAACCTTTGGGTTGTCACCCAGAGAAGCCAATCGATGCTCATTTTAAATGGCAGCCTGGACAGAAACTTTCTTGGCTAGAGCCCCTTGGCATTTTTGGAGGCCTGTGGGGATTAATAAATGGGCCCTTCTTCCTAAAGACGACCGAAGATGGCACATGACAGCCAAAATACCAACCCAGAGACCAGGCTGGAGGTGTGGCTCCGTGTGAAACTGGATGCCACAGTTCGCTGCTGGCCCAGGCAGCCCGTCTGTGGGCGGCAAGCAGCGGATCACCTGCTCCCTGGGGCCCCGGCTGTCCCCGTGAGCGCCCAGGTCACGCTTGCCAATCCCCCATAAGGGTGAACTCCCCTCCCGCCCCTGGGAGCCGAGCACTGCGGAGGGAGAGGCCCGGGGGAGGCGGTGGCGCCCAGGAGAAAGAGGTGGCACCGGGGCCTGGGACGCGGGGTTTGCCTGATGCTGCCACTAGTGGCTCGTGGCCTTGGGCCAAATCGCTGCCCTTCTCTGGGCCTCTGTCTGGAGAGACATTAAGCACCTCCTTCCTGCTCTGACAACTGTGGTTGGGTTTGGTGGCTGCTCAGGAAACCAGTCCTACCACACATGTCCCTGCCCGGTGAGCACAGAAGCGCAGCCCTGCAGATCGGGGGACCCGGTTCATAAATCCGCCCCAGTGTGAGTCCTTCAGCCCCGGAGGCGGGGACTCCGCAGTGACTCTGGCCTGTTAGGACGCTGGGCCGCAGTCTCACCTCGCGCCTGCAAATTAGAGGGAAACAGGACCAGCCTTGTCGCGCTCAGGGCTCCGGTTAATCACACTGAGCCACCCCCGGGGAGCCGCGGTGACCCGCTCCTCAGCCCCAGCTCGGCCAGACCCCAGGAGACGCCGCGTGCTGTCTGGGCACCTCGGGGTTCTCCACCTTTGAAGTGGCCAAACCTCTGCCCTGAGCTGCTGCTTCCCAGTGTCCGCTGCCCAGAAGTGCTTGACACAGAGACAGAGAGAGAGACAGCGCCACCTCCATCCACTGTCCTCAGAGAAGAGTGTCCCTCCAGGCAAGCACTTCCTTCTCACTATGGGTGACGGAGGGCCCTGTCGGGAGAGCAGACCCAGGAGAGCATCATGTCTCCCACAATGTACCTGTCGGGTCCTCTGCTGTCCAGTTGTTGAGACCTCAAGGAGAGCTCTGTGAGCTGGGCAGACCCCTCACCCACCGGGCAGACCCCATGGACCAGTGCTGTTGGGAGGGAGCTGGAGGCAGCGGCTGAAGTGCTGAGGATGGAGGCCCCCAAATGTGGTGCTGTCACCCCATCTCCAGCCCTGGGCTCCTCAGTCATAGGGGCCAGGGAGCCAGACGAGACTTCGCAGAGGGTCAGAGTCTGAGGATCCTTGGAGACCCCTTAGTCTATGATTTGCATGATTTTTAGTTGTGGGTCTTTTTTGTCACTTAAATCTCACATGAAATCTAAACAAACAAAGGCCTAGCTGCTTCGATTGAAGTAAGAGTGAGGATTGGACCACCCTACATGTGCGAGGCACTGTGGAAGTTGCCAGAAGAAAAAGAGCACTGTCCTCCAGGATCCCCCATCCATTTGGGAGGCAGACAGAGATTCTTTCTAAACGGAGCAGTGCTTGCTGTGAACGTGGACAGGGGACCCCAGGCGGACTTCCCGGAGGAGGTGAGGCTGAGCTGGGGTGAAGGGCGAGCAGCAGCGGGGGGGGG